TTAGGGCACTATTTGTCTCCTGCACTGGCCTGTAAAGTGTTAGTGAGGTACTGAAATAAGCTTTTTACCATAGACTGGCTCCTCTTCACTGCTTGAGGATATTAAGTATTTTTATCTCTCAGAAATATACACAAAAATATACACAGAACTCAGTATTTTATACCTTGCACGTAATGTCATATATTGTACACATGACACACAAGTAATGAAAAAGAAACTCTTCTAAATGCAGGGACACAGTATTTTTAGTGTTTCATCAACTCTGCAACTAATCATCTGGCAGACAGACACAAGCTGATGCTTGAAAACAGAAACTGGAAAAATCAGTGCTCGAGTGCAAACTTAAGACATTCACCTCGTCACAAGAGCTTCCCAGCTTTCTGACAGTTGCTGAAAGTCTGTTTTCTTCCAGTGGCCTCAAAACCCATCTCATTAGCACAAACACTTCCTGGGGGACCTTGTAAGTGCATTTCCCTTCAGCCAGTAACGTGTTAACTTATTAATTAGAACTGCTGCTGCAGGGTAAAGGAAGAGAAAATTAATTCAAGAGCTGCCTTAGCAGGCCAACCTATCTCGGGTACACTGCTCACAGGAGAGCTGTCTGCAATTCAGTTTTGTTTAATTAGTCCCACAAAAAGCAACTGTTCGCTCTGATAAGAGCGGGGGGAGAGCTGCAAAAAACAAAACCATCTCTTCTATGCGCCAATTTAATTTTTTAATTATTACATTCTGACATGAAAAACTGTTCGCTCCTTTCTCTTGCTGGCAAACCAAGGGCATTAGTCATCAACTTCTGCACTCTTCCCCTCCATTCTAATGAGCCCATCACCAGAGTAGCTAGGGCTAATAAGTCCCAGGGCTAGCAGGTAACCAATGATCCATCTTCCCCATAAAATCTGCTGTAGAGGTTCTCTCATGAATTTACGACTCCACCGCATATTTACTGAGTGCTGCTGCCACGCTGCTTACTGGTTTTGACGTAGAGGCTCAGTGACTCCAAAGGGAGCCTATCCAGGTCCTGTCCAAAGAGGTGACAAAAATAATTCAGCCTCCTTTGTTTCTCCCCCTGCACATTCCTCCCACCTGCCTCCTGTACTCTGCCGCTATCCAGACCCCTGCAAGCAAGAAGGGAAGCATCCATGCATATCAATGTCCTGCTCCAACACATAAATCTTTAAATTTTAATTCTTGTGTAGTGCCAGATGTAACATGATAGTCAGACTAAGGGAATAAAAAAAAACAACAAAGTTATGGATTGCTTAGATTTAGAAATATGCCAAGAATGTTTCCCTTTCACTCACTGCAAATTTTAGATTGAGGTCAGACCCTCATTACTTTATTACTGTCAATGACACTAATTGAAATATTTTTCTATTTACATTGTATTCTCTTTCACCATCCAAATCACAAAAGCAATTTTCTTGAAATTATTTTGATTTGAAGATGTTAGTTCCTGCTAAATATTTCTCACTTCCCCCAAAGCAATCAAAACTCACGTCGTCATCCCGCCTTACACGATGCTTTTACAATCACATTTATCTGCTACTGGCTCCTTCTCACCTCATGTTATGTAACACTCAAAAACTTGAGACAGGCATAATCGTTATTCAACTGATTCCTTTGCTAAAAGTTACCAAAACTACTCAGATCTAGAACATCACATTTCTATGAAGCTACATGTCTTTCAATAACACAACTGCCTTTTTCGTTTCTTCAATAGCTTCAGCTTTCAGAAGCATAAATATTTTCCCAGACATGTTGACAGCACGTAAGGCGCCAGAAAAACTGATAACTCTTTGCAAGGGTAAAATAAAAAAAACCAACCTAGTTTAAATCATTATAAATTTAGACAGTAACAACAAAAAAACTGAAGTTACTCTATAAATACAGAGGAGCACTCAGAAGAATGGTCTAAATATCAAAAACAAATCACTAAAACTAGCAGTTTTAAATAAGCTAAAAAGTCTGGTTTAAGTTAGGTTATGCATTCAATGATAATGATGCCTTACTACCCTACTCTTAACTCTTACAGAAAATGACTAAAAGGTAGCCCTCTTAAAAGGGGATTTTTAAAGGTGGTAGTGGAAAAAAGTTGGCCTAATTACACAATGTCATCTATTCCGACAGAAGCAAGGCCATTTGATCACTCTTGGTGTGTCTGTTCATTATCCATCTCCTACAACTCCATACCCAGTGCATCCTGTATCTCTTGGCCAACCACTCAGGAAAGCAGTGATCAATAAAGATTCTTATTTTTACTTTTTACAAGTTTTCCTTACCAAATGGATGTCTGTGAAGACAGGAGCAACCCTAAACCCCCTGTATTTGACCCACATGCCAGGAGGAGCAGCTGTGAAATAAGCTGCACAGGAACACTTTGTTGAACTGCCAGAGCCAGCAAGAGTGCACAGGGGACACAGACCGGAGCAGGGGATAATGCTGGGTGAAGGGACGTAAGGAGCCATGGGTGCATTTGAGGGATGGCCAAGAGGGCCAGCAAGGAGGGGGGGCACAGGTTGTAGGTTCACAGGGTGTAAGGACATACAGAGAGAAGTCAGAGGGACTCCTGCTGGTGTGGAGGGATAAGTAGAAATGCTTGTAAACCCAGATCTTACTAGGTTTACTGCTCATACAAAAATCTGATTAGTTTTTCTTTTTTTGGAGGGTGGGAATGACAAGGAAAAAAGACTGAAAGCTTTGTGGGTTTTGGGCTTTCTTTCACTTAAAAGGGAGATCTCAGGGGTTTGGTTCTGTCTGCAGAATTAGAAATTGTTTTTGCTTTTTTAGTATTAAAAAAATCAGTTACTGAAAAAGATTAGTAAAATAATTAAGCACCAAAATACAGAATTACAGCTGTAAAATATCATACTGAGAAAGGTGAATTTGCTGAATAACTGAGAAGACAGCATTTAACAAAAAAGAACCACTTTAGACAGCTCCAGAAGATCTTTTTTCTTAAAAGAGACAGAGGCTAAGAGGTCATAAGAGAGGAAAAAAAATACATAAAACCCCATTGTAGAACAGCTTAACTTCTGCAATTCTTTCCTTCCCCCCTCTCCTGATGATGTAATGGCAAAGAATAAAAAACAAAACAAAAATGCCTGGATACAGATGTTGACTGTTTTCTGAATCTTCAGAACTTTCTCGCATGCCTAGGGAAAAACAGGTGCTGTTAGAAGTGCTGTGTGCTTCTGAGCGCTCAAGGGAAGTCGTATGTGCTTACCTCTCTAAAGATTATTTCCAATTTTCCCCTATATTAGCATGCTGCCATTAAATATTTCTGATACATTTCAGTATCACCTTAAAAACCAAAACCAACAACTTTAAAGTATTAGACTTAATGCTTTGTTTGTAATGAATATGTAAAAATGAATTAGTAGATCTAAAAATGAAAATTACTTGTCTCTACAGGTCTCTATTACGGGTTTCACCAATTCCAGGGAATTTATTCTGGAAGCAGGTAACTACTGGGACCCAGGTGACTTCACTTCTGTGTCCCGAGAGACAGCTGCCAGATGCAGCTCTCTGCAGACAGACAAGGCTGGTCAACCCTCACACCAAGAGCTCCCCGCACCTTCACAGCCTCGTCTCTAGAATGAATCACTTCCAGGTTGGTCAAAGGCAGACCGGGGAATAAACACCATTAACATAAAATCAAAATACCAAAATATTTACAATGCTGTCCAGACCACCAGTAAGGGAAAAACTGCAAAGAAGTCTGCAGCAAAAGACAACTGAAAATGCAGTAGCGCCTATCCCTTTCTTTCCATTACTTGAAAACTTATGTGATAGTCTTCCCTTTTAAAATACAGTACCACTACAAAATATGTCTCTTTTCTTTGTAATATTATTTTCTTTCTTGTGAAATAAACAGCAAATGAAGGCCTGCTTCAAAATAGATATCCATATCTCCACATCTTGAATTAACAAAGTTATAATATTTATAACCAAATACATAAATCTAAAAATGTATCCAACTCCTGTTACCTTCTATAAACAAGCACAATTACAAAAATACTGCTTGAACTTCTGGCGCCTTAACAGGCAGAATTTAAGAAGAAAATTACATCCCTTTCAAAATGGGATTACAAGAAATTATGGCATTCAAAATAAATACTACAGTGGATATGCCTCATGTGTGCTGCCTATGTTCCTACTTATGAGTCCATACAAAACACCTATCTTGTCAATATGATTGATTTCTTTATGCTAGATTAACATTTGTGGTGAAAGGAGGGACAAGTCTCAGAGGTCAGAATGAAGAGTGTAAGAAAGGATATTTCATGCCTAGATAAATAATCTGAAGCATCACAAAAATTTGCAAAGGATAGCCTCAAAAAAAATTTGTATGTCTGTATGGTATCTTGGACACAAGCTAACTGTGATTCGTTTGTGTGTGCAACAGTACTTGTCAAAGCTATCTCATATAACAGAGGGTCAGTGCCCAAACTGGGGACAAATGCATAAATACAAAGTAGCAGTTATACTCTTAAATAAGAAGTAGCCATAACTGGATCAAAAAGAATTATATCATTACTATAACAACATTGGAGGAAAAGTCATTCTAGCAAAGTTCTCCATAAAGTCAGTTTTCCACTACTTTCCCAACCTCCAGGATCAACGAAGCTGAAATACTAGTACATGATGATCCATTTTTTCAGATTATTTTCTGCATTTCTGAATAACAGAGCAACAGAGCACGAAAGACCCATTGAAAAGGGAGAGTTTTCCTACATACACAATCTTACACAATTAAGAACAGGATTCAAGGATTTCTTTATGGGACTGGTTCTGAGAAAAGCTTTAGCGAGAGTTACAGAATACCACAAAGAGGACCACACATTCAATTTATGAGTGTTGGAAAGGGGAGGATGGGGAAGGATAAAACATTCTGGTAGCACTAATTTGCTTAAAATTTTGTGAGTGCTAACATAACAATTCTGTGCAACACAGCTTTAAGAAAAGCACTGCATTATATAGATCAGACAAAAACTTCTTACCTATGACTTCCATCCAGATTTGATTTGTGGATGAAATTCAGTTTAGCATCAGCCCAATACAGCTTCTGTTCCTCATAATCCAGCGTCAGTCCATTTGGCCAATATATGTCCGTGTTGACTATAACGGAGCGGCTTGAGCCATCCATCCCAGCACGTTCTATCTTTGGCACTTCTCCCCAGTCTGTCCAATACATGAACCTATAATTTTAGAGAGATAAAAAAAGAGAGCAATCATGTATAAATCTACAAATGGAACATTGGATTCAACTTTCAGTAAAGGCAAAGGCACTATCTATTCTGCAGAGACAGCGTCTGTGGAGCTTTGTTCTACTGGGTAATGTACGCAGGCCCTACAAAACACAACAGAACAAAGTCACTTTACAAAAACCTGAAGAAAATCAACTAAGACAAATCCACAGCACTACATCACTTTTCCATATGTCTGTTTCTTTCCTTGGGTCAAGTGAGAAAGTTGGAGACATTCCTGACAATCTTGATTCTGACAATAATATCAGAATTCAACATCATACAGCAAAGACAGATATTAAAAACTATCATGAAAGTACAACAGCCTCTTTAACATGGGTCAGAGCATTGGAGGGAAATGGAAAAAGATGTGTGGACTTGCAGTGGACATAGCAGTTGCATGTGAGGCAGAAAAGTGGATTTGATGGAAGACCAATTCATGTCCTTTTTTTTTTCCCTCCAGAGAAATTCACAGGAACATCAACACGTTTAGAAGAACAATTTGCACCCAGTGACTAGGCAAAACATTCTGTGAAGTCTTTTAAGACTGGAGAAGCAAGCAAGTTTTAAAACACCTCAGCATATACTAGCACATGTTTAAACATTATTTAGCAAGTAGTGGGGGAAGGGAAGTTACCTAGCTGCATTCAGGGCTGAGATGAAGCAAAGGAAACGACTTTATTATGGCTGGAGACCAGTGGGGGGTGAGAATATTTATCTTTTTTCTGCAGGTGGTAGAAAATGGGTTTACTTTTGTGGGTTGTTAACAGAATGCATAACTAAACAGTAGTAACATATAATATAAACAGATCAGACAAACTGTGTCTATGGCATTGCTCTGTTTTGTTGTTGCAGCTGGGACAGACAAGAAGCCTAGTGTCCTAAATTGCTTCTCATAACATCTGCCAGCATACCTGCTTGTATCTGTGCTCCCTAACCTGGCTCAGTCAAAACAACCCAGATTAGGAAAGATCTGAAGCCTTTAAACTAACCCAGATCATCGCACAACCGCAATATGTCACTATATGGTGCCCACATGTGAGGAGGCCTGGCCACCCATCCTTTAAAGAAAAACAAATGTGCAACACATTTAAGAAACATTTGCAGATGAAGTTGTTCTTGGCAAAGAATTATTTTGTTTTAATTTTAAAAAGTCAGGAAATTCCATGTCATATTTTCCCCCTTAATTCATGTCTACAGCGTGTTTGTTTTAATGCACAGTTCTATCTGCGGACAGAAATGCAGCTGATTAACACAAATATTGCCCTATTTGATCCCAAGTGAGTCATTCTTTATGGAGCAATGCACCTGCCTTAAACACAGAAGACAGCATGTGAGATTCCTGTAGGCATAAACAAGTGATACAGAGAAAGTGGTTTTCGATTAGGTAGAAGAAAAAAAAGCCAAAACAACAAACCCTCAAGTAATTTTCAGATAGGTAGCACAGTAGCAAGTCACCTCGTCAAGCTATGCAATAAGAGAACTATATAATGAAAATAAATAATAATAAAGTTTAAAAAACTCAGTCAGATTTCCCCAGTGAGCACCTGTGAGAAAGAAGAGTGAAAAACAGAGATATATTTAAAGTTCTTTAAACACTCTTTGCCCCATCTGTCAAGTCCTAACCCTCCAAATACTTCATCAAGGTTAATAGGTTGCAAGGCTCTGGCCACCAGGCCAGACTGATCTTTCAGGCTGCAACAGCTCATTAGTCGCTGTGCAGCCTCATCTCCTTCCCTGTCTTCCTCTCACCTCTCATTACTCAAGCAAAAACAGGTAAGAGAAGTTTGGTAACAAAGAAAAGCCTTCCCAGACTTCAAAAAAACAGCCCTATTTCATTTGTCAGAGGAGCACACATGCACAGAGCTGGCTTTAAGTTTCAGTAACATTTCCAATCAGCTCCAGTGACCTTCGCTCGGTTTCTCTCATATTTTGTTCCCCCCTCCCATCACCCGTTTGTTTTCCTCCACCTTGCTTGAAAGCCTGTGGGTTTTAACATCTCCACTAAAACGCTTTGGAACCAGTCATGCTCCAGCCAAAGGCATCAAGGGCTGTGCTTCGCTTGGGAGCCAGGGCTTTGCATCACTTCAAAAGCAACGCAGGTTAGAGTGTGATGACCATTTTTCTTGGTAACTATTGCTCTTAAGCAACTTCTTGCAGATCATCTTTGTTTCCAGTACAGGGCTTACATGGCCACGTAGGAGATGGGATTCAAGGAACAGGTCTGGGCTAAAAATCAGTCAACAGTCTGAACACATTTGAGGTGCACAGCTCCATGAACTCTTCCTGCTTGCACACAGTGTAGGTTTCTACAGGTGCCTCCACCAGCACGGATGCCAGCAGTCACTTTCTTACTCAGAAAGTGCATTTAGGCCCTTTTCTGCAACAGCCGAGCAAGTACAGGTATAGGCACTGGTTACAGGAGCAGGAGGGGATGGGAAGAACTGTGTAAAACAGCTGGAAGAAATGACCTTCTTGTAACCATGCTTTAAGTTAACCTGCAGCTGCTACAAGGTGAGGGAGACCTGGCTAGCAACCAAGGTAGGGGGAACCCACGGACACACAGACATGACTGTAAATTCCCATTACTGCAGGGGCCTCTCTACAGATTTTTCTACAGAGATCTCAGATCCCTCTTCCAGGTCATATCGAACTGTTCACTTATGTGTGCTGGTTTCTCCTTTCTGGAAGGCCTACAGATTTTTGTTTCATTCTATAATGGTTGGTAAGTAATCCATACAGAGACCATGCAGAAAGAAAGGTGTTCTGATATACATAAATGATGGTACGCCAGACAAGGCAAGGGTCATTCTCCCTCCTCTCCATCCTCTTCAAACATGTGGTACAGGCACAGCACTGGGCTCCATGCTGGGCAATCCCAAATCCATAAGATCCAGAGGGCAATATACAGACGCGCTGTAACTGACTTCAGCAAGTCTGCTTAGGTCCAGAAACAGGAATGCTTACTTTAAGTTTCTTTGCTCTGGCTGACAGAGCTGTTAATTCCTGCAGCTACAACCAGGGCAGGCTGGTACCAGCGCTCTGGACCCATCCAGCTGCTTGTCACTGCCTCCTTGCTCAAGGTCACCCCCCAGCCCTGCATCAGGGCCAGCAGCGGAAGCTGTGAGCCCAGACCTGACTGCTGCACTTTACATGCCAGCTACTCCATCCAAACTCACCTTTGCACGGAGTTTAAAACCAGTATAGAGAAGAGGTACTGCAGCAACACAGTCAAGAAAACCTGCAAAACTGAATAAATGTACTCTATGCCTGCAGATATTTAAACACAAACAGCATACTTTCTTACCTAACAGGAGTACCAGACTTAGCAGGAAGAGCTTGTATTTAGTATCAAATCAATCATATAAAGCCAAATATCTCTTCAGCCTAATAAGAAATAATACCACAGCTGATTAAAGATGATCCCATAAACCTAGTGGTTTTTTTCTGTATTGAAATAGTTAACTACTGTATTTTTTAAAACTTTGGTTTTAATCAAATAACCTTAATATTTTGAACTGCTTCGCTATTTTCACCCATTGTATTTTCTCCATACTTTTAATGCCATGCTTGTCAGACTTCACCAGCAGACTTTGGAAATGATTGCAAGCTGTTACAAAAAAATCTAACAGACAAACAACAACAAAAGTGTACTTCTATTCATCGGCTCTTGTAATTTTAATATTAGGTACTCATGTCACGAAATCATACAGTTTCCTCCCCTCTTCCTCTGCCTTTAAGGAATTAAGACACATTAAGTATTTGGAACACAGAAAAGAGCAAGGTTCTTAGACTTCAGCACTTAGCAGGTATTTTTTTTTTTTACTGTGGCCCAGAATGTTGGTTTATCTTATATGGTTATACCATCTATAAAAATTATGATCAAAGGAAGAAGTTTGATGGTTTTTCCCTA